TGCACAGTACTGTATTTGTTTTCCAGTCCAGTCTCTCTGTTCCACTTCTATCCTATTTGTTTGCTCCTTTTGTTTTCCCCTTCTCATCTTCTTTTCCTTATTTATCAAGTTCATCCTACCCAGAATATACCTTCAATAGCATAAGCCAGTGAATCAAACTCCTTGAACTTCTGGGTTCATTGGTGCAGTAATTCTACGGTGGAATAAAGCAGTGTGCCCTCTGCAGTTTTGCTAGGGCAGTTATGACCTGAGATTTTTTTTAACAAAGAAAACCCACAATGATGTTCTGTACCAGCTCTCTGGAAAGCTCAAGAGATCAGGGCCAAATTAATTCCTGGCCTAGCTCTGGGTCACAGGCTGCTGTCTGAGGAGCTGTATACTGAGAGTCCAAAGTAACTTTCTCCAAATGGTGATGCGTTACTGACATCACTGACCCCAGGCTGAATTTTGCCACATCTGCTTCCACAGACTAAGGGCTCAAATAAAGAGCACTGAATGCCAAGGTAAATCACTCGCTTGTTCACATGCAACTGGACCTGACTGTGACTATTTACTATTGTTGCAGATTACCAGATTATTGGTGTTAACCAGGCTTGCAGATATGCAACTCTTTGTAACTGGTTGATTGTAGTAAAACCTTCCAGGAGTGCCTAAGTGAAGCAAGAGGAGCACAGGTACCCACTATAAGAAATCTTCTTATAATTTTTCTTATACCTCTCTGAACATTACACTTTACAAGCATATTTCACTTACTTATTACTAAAAACAAGAAAAGCAAACCACTCAAGCAGATTACATAAAAAAAAATTTGCCACTTGTTTCCCCCCAACATTTGGAGCCCATGTTCTACAGGACCCACATTTGCTATGATTTACAGGAAAATCCAGCTTGTCAGGCCTGCTAAAAGCAGCATGAACACTCAGGTGTTACTGTTTCATAGAAAGACTAATCTATAAAAAAGCATCTATATTTAAATTTATGGCCCCTATATGTTTGAGAAACAGAGTCGTGTAAACACACCAGTTTCCTGGGGAGGCTTTTATGCTGTTTGAGCACAGACACCCAGGCAAGACAAGGAGATAGATTCCAGTTTTGCACCTTCTTGCAGGTTGGCAGAGCAGGCAGGACCACATCAAAATCACAGACCGTTGCAGATCTTCATCATCTCTCCTTTACTCACCTCACTGCTGATATTTCCTTGGAACAAAAGAAATCATAAAGTTCTTTTTATCCCTCTATCCTTCCACATGTTCAAGTCACTGGAAGAGATCAAAACCTGCTCACGTCTGATGTTATCAGACCCAGGAACTGTTTTCTGGCATTCCTGTTCAGGGGCTGGGAGCATCTGCTCTGCACTCAGAAGTTGTGCCCTTCCTCTCCCACTCCCAGCCTTGCTGGGATGCTCACACCCTTTCTGGGCACAGGCAATTGTCTTCTCCAGCTTTAGCCACAAAGGGCAGAACCCAGAGAAGCTTCAGGGATACACCTCGTATGTGTAACTCTATGCAGATCTCTGGCTCCCCAACCAGATAATTCTCATTACCCCTATTACCATCCACCTTGCACTATCTTTCCCAGGCACCCAGAGTACTACCCTGGAGCCCTTGTTCCCTGACTCGTTCATCATTAACGCCAATCTAGTTATTACCAACTTTTTCTGAGAGGGATCTGAAGAGCATGAAGAGGATGATCCCATAAACAATCACCATGGACTTGACATCTTAGGGTACAGAAGAGATTCCCTGATGCAATCATAAGCAATCTGGTGGGAGCCAAGCCCGTTCCGAAGTTACCATCCTTCACTGAGGCAGCCACCCAGCTGTCACACTGTGTTGGGGGCTTGCTTTGCCACCTGGCCATTCAGTCACCCAGCCTGGAGGGAACTTGTGGTGCCCAGGTTGCCACAGCAGCGCAGGAGAGCACACTCCCTGCCAGATCCACACCAAGGCTCGCAGTAGCTAATGGAAGAAAAAACTCTCCTATTTCCATAACACAGCCTACCTCCTCTAAAATGGCTTGTAAGGCGATTGCAGTGGAGCGCACGCAAGGCTGCAGCGCAGCACTGGAGAGAACAGCAACCTTTAAATACTCTAAAATCAAATCTTGTTTTACACAAAAACGCTATGGTAAAGTCGACATGAATGAAGCACCTTTGAGTGAAGGAACAGAAGGAAAGGCAGTGGACAGTTTTAGTGCCTCCTAGCAATTTTTTTTAATAAACTAGAGATGACAGACAGCGTTACCAACACATCTCTCATCTTCAAATATGACTTTCTTCAGAGAGAGCTCAGTGGAACTGAGTCAGCCTTTTTTCTTGGGCCTAGCTCTTGGCATTTTTCATACTAAAACAAAATATAATATGGAAATAATTCTGAACTGTAGGCATCTGACAGGATTTCAGTAACATTGGTCAGATTTTCTCTGCAACAATTTTAGGCAAACAAAAAATGAAAATATCACACAAAAAATCTAGAGTTGTTGGTGTGTTTTGATTTTTTTAAAAATATGCTTATGCATCAAGTCATTCTTTATAGAGTTATGCCTGGCTGTGGAGAAGGGCGAGCTTCCGCAGAAACTCCTGTGAGTGGGCAACAGAGCTTCACCTGCGCAGCAGCCAGTGCTCACTACTTGGCCTCTGAAGGTTCCAGGCTGCAGCAGAGGTCCCCTTCCCCAGCCACCCAGAGCTGCTGCACCCTGTTTTCCTGAGTCAGCCAAGGACAAGCCAAGAGGAGACTGGGTCACCTCATCACAACAGTGAGCGCAAAGCAACAGTTTCACGCAGACAAGGCTTCTGAAGGATCAGCTTCAGCTGACCTCTTAACTAGTAGTTTCTGCCAGACAAAATTGAGCCCTGAAGTTATTTTTAGCCAGAACACTTCATGAATTGCAGTTAACTTGCAATATGCAAACTAGTGACTAGTGCTAGAGGAATCCCTATGGGTTTGTGGTTCCACTCTCTGCTCAAAAGTCCAATTATTCATTTTTCTTAGAGCTGCAATATTAATCTAAAAAAGTTGCACAAATGGCAAGAGATGTCATCCTCCCTCCATCCCCAAATCAGATAACCAAAATAAAGGAAGATAAGCATTTAGCCCGGGGCTTATTAGCTATACAAAGTGCAGCTATAAAACTTTGGAGGCTGACCCTCCTCTAGCGACGCTTTTGACAAGAAATTTGTCAGTGCTTCCACCTCTGACTCAAGACCAAACAAGCCTGTGCAGAGATGGAATGGGAGAACTGCTAGACATAGAAAGGTTTGGGTGAGTTACTATTGTATTTTAATTTTATTCTATCCAAATCACTTGCCTATTTATCTGTATGAGAAAATGCAGTAAAACAAAAGAGGGGTTAAAGTAGCTGGAAGGGGTGACTGCTCTAAATACTTTGGAAGGGAATGAAAATCTTTAAATGGATTTAGGCAGGCTTTGAATCAGACCTTATTACAGAAGGTAGGACCAAGGCAGTTCAAAGCAGAAACTCCTCCACACACTTCCACCCTTTTTTTTTTTTTTTTTAAAAATTTTGTTCTACTCAGGCTTCTCCAGCTTTCCCCTGTGAATGGAACAGGGATAAAGCACAAAGATTGTGTCAACTACCACCTTTTTTGACATCTTCGTTCCCAAGAAATTTAGTATTTGCTGAACTGGTTAGTTATTCTTTTGGGACACTGGTTAGTTATTATTTTGTAAGTGGTTACCAGTGAAGATTCATGGTTCCTCCCCAAAAGTCTGTACTTTCATTATTTCATGTCTATCAACAAATAAGGCAAGTTTGTTACTTAATGTTTGTCCTTAATGGACCCTACCATCGTAAAATTCCCTGACAATCTGACACAATTAAACATTATTTGTTGTTTCCGCTCTTTTGAGCAGAAGAGCAAGCCAGGGCAATGCATTTAAACAAAAGCATGTAGGATTCCCACTGAAATAGAGACTTCACCAGAGTGCACCTTTCCTTTTTGCCCACTGCAGGCTCCTCCTTCCTCTCTGAGGAACAAAGAACCAAGTAAAAATAAGAAACTGTCTGAATGGAGGATTATTTTAATTTATGTTGCAAGTTGTTATGCAAAAAAAAGCTTGGGAAAAAAAAAACCAGTGAACCAACACCAAAGAGCACTTCATCATAATATTATTACCAATTTATTAAACAAAGATTGCATAGACTTGAGAAATGAGTGTGACACATCCCTGGGGGTTTTTTGGAGGTAGACCTCCACCTGTTTCATTCTCACATGCACTCCTGTTTACAAAGACAGGGAAAAATGTTTGCACTTCAGTTCAATGCAACACAATTTTACATTGTTTGCAGTTTTCTTTAAGGCGAGGTAGGAGCATGCACAGCCAGCTGGAGATGTACGTTTTGGGGAGACAGGGATACCATCTTCCAGGGAGACTGGTGGAAACACATGGCGCTTGTTAATTTATATCCTGGACAATGCTATAAATCGAAGCATTGCTGACAATTCCTGCCCAGTAAACATGCTCAATTTCATCTCCCGTAAAAAGGCAAGCAGGCACTAAATAGCAACACATTTTGATTTTCATTTAGCCACTTTAATGATAGGTGATGTTAGTGGAAAAAGATCATTTATCTTCAGATTTATTTTATATGAGATAAAAAGCCTTGCCAATTTTTTAAAATTCATTTACACAAGTGAATAAATCTTCCCAAACAATAAGTGGGAAAGTCATATTTCTTTAAGTTTGCTAAAATCTGAAAATGCTGATCTTGGAGTGAAATAGACAGCACTGGCATTTTAATCAAGATCATAAAGACTCCCGTTCTAAATAAGAAGCACAGCTATACTTCAGAAAAAAATATCTCTAATTCGGAGGAAAGCCTTTTTTAATGCATTTTGTCAGAAATCTCTGATAAATCAGGAGAGACACATGCAATCTTTATATCTCCTTCATTCTTAGAGCAGTTCCAATGTGAAGGCTACCTAAAAATAGACCGAACCTAACCTTTCAAATATCTATACTGCTGCATACCAGGAACGCAAGCTTTCAGTGCCTCTCATGGCTTTCAAGAGCCTTGTGCCTGTCTTCTCCTCTAGCACATTATCTCATGTTGCATATTACACCCAAGCATGAGACAAGCTGCAAGTTACAATGTGCAGTGTGTTGCAATATGTGATTTGTGTCCCTTCAGAACACACAAGCAGCAAGATCGTCAAAACCAGCCTTCCCTATTGGCTGTTTGATTTTTTGCCACAACAAGGACACCAACAACACTGAACCTAGTAAGTGGGGACGTGAAAATGAAGCTCTGCCCCAGCAGCTCTGCTCAGAAAGCATAAGCTGTCTGGTTTGCAGTACACCACTCTTAAAAATATGAAGGGGCACAATAAGGTCTTTTGTCTTATTGTTTTCTACAGTGCTTGCAGACACACTTCTACCCATCTAAAGAAGAGACTTTCCAACAGTGCACTGAACTCTTGATGACTGATGTAGAATTACAAGACAGCAGAATACATGGTAACTATTTCTTTGCATTACACTTTCTAAATTGTGATTCTTCTTGGCCTTAACAGTATAGATCAGATTCATCCCAAGCACAATCCCAGAAACTTCAGGTCAGTGGTACCTGAAAAATCAATAGCATTTAAGTTATAACATGGGAGATTTTGGCCCAGGCTGTACAAATACTTACTTTTATTGTAGATATTCTTCACTTGGTATTATGCTTCATTGAATGTATTTTGATGTTCTGTAATGCTAAATACTCTACTTAGCAGGTTCTTAAGCTCCACTAGGAGCTGGAATAGGCAAAATCTGTACTAAACCAGGTTGTGGGGCTGCCCTGGAGGCTCCGAGTGAGTTTGACTTTTGCTTACATGAAACAGAAAATCACCCTTGTACCAGTTGTTAGCTAGCTACTCCTAGCAGGAACAAGCTCATAAGGACTTGCTTTTCTTTGTTTACTGTCATGCTCTGCTCTGACAGAGTCAGAAGTTTGTCAAGGCATTTTACTCTGTCAAAAAATTAACAAAATAACTTATACTGATCAAATAATGGAACAAAGCAGCATCAGACTAAACAAATTCCTTCAAAGAATTTTGGATGGAAAATGTCTTACTGCTGACAGGGAGGCAAGAATAGCAAACAAAGGTATAGGAATAAAAACTACTCAATAAAATATAGATTTCATTATCACCACCTATTCAACTTAATTTTCTTGGCATCCATATCCCTAATGCAGGTTTGTGATAGATCGTACAATCACTTTTTAATTAAGCCCTACTGTGCTTTGTATTAAGAGCAAGGCAGTAGACATTATGGCACAATATATCTACCAAAATATTTAATGCTTATCCTTTTCATTTTGGTATTTAAAAGTTGTTCTCTTAGGAGGTGGTATCAGTATTTAACAACATTCTTGACAGTAAGTATAAAAACAAAAAGCTTCATACTTAATCTAGCCATGTCAAAACTGAAACCCCTTAAAATAATTGCTTTCTGAATATATGGTACTCCCATTGCATTATTTTATTATTACTCAGCTTGCAACATCTTAAGATGCAAAACTTGTTCTTTTCCTACATACTGATGAGATAGGAAGTGGCACGAGGATAGAAAACTGACATTTGACCAATACAGTTGAATGGTACACGAAACAGATGTTATCATGTCACAAAAGATATATTTAATGAGAAGCTGTAGAAGACTGGAAGCTTCCTGGGTTGGTAGTACTTTCTTTGGGGTTTAGCTCTCATTCGGTGTATTGCAGCTCTGCAGCCTGTGATGGGGCAGATCCTCTAAAAGAACAATGCTCTTCTTCCAGTGGAGTACTGGCACTTTTCAGAGGGCAACATTTACTTTAATTACTAAAATGTACCCAATTTCTTCCAAGAAAGAAAAGGCTGTTGTTGCATATATAATATGGTTTCAGTTTTTAATGCCAGAAATGAATCAGTAAACATAGTTCCATTATGGTATACTATTTCTTATTCTGTACCCATAGTAACCAAATTAATTTCAAGGCGCTGCTGGCATTAATTCAATCTGAAGCTCACACTTTGGATTTCACATAGGTGCCTTCATCCTATTCTTCTTCTCAACTAATAAAATGTTAATATATGGCAATATATTTATTTCTGGTTCAGTTCAAGTTGAGGTGTGCAGTACTTTGCAGAAACCTAATTAATATCAATCATATATTACAACATTGTGTGGTTTAGTATACAAAAAAAAATGGTGCTAGCACATGAGCATGAAACAGATGACCCAGGACTTCATTTCTAGCTGTAACTTCTCTGTTTCTAGGATAGGGAAGGCCAGTTTCTCCTTACCTTTCAATCTCCATTAAAAAAAAAATCCCTAACATACAGCAAAGAACTACAATAAATATATTACATAAGGAAAAAAAAACACACAAGAGTAAGGAGGTCTTGGAGGATGAGATACCGACAAAACCAGGACACTGCCCCTGTACCACCATGAGTTTGGTGTGCACTGGCAATAAGCTGCTCCCACAGTGACCCAGCAGTGCTGTCTTCAGCAGCACGCACTAATACAGGTTTTTCCACTGGGACCTACCAGCCTTCAGCCAAAAAATCCCATCCAGTTGATAGAAAAAAAGCATCTCCACATCCCAGGAACTGCACCTGAACTGCTCAGGAGACATAAGCAGTTCAATAGCTGTGGTGTTGACTAGACCTACTCTAGACCAGAGCAAAATGAAATACAGTTCTTTTGTCAGAACTTAATTTGGGCAACCTGAGACCCCAGGCACACTACTATTATAAAGTCTCAATATCTGCTCTACTCCCCATAGTTAAAGAGGTTTTGCAGCAACAGTTCATATTTCTTGGAGCCTTTTTTACCCAGCTGCTCCCACTCCCATGTATTCCCAGGAGCTCTAGTGTCCCCAAGTATTTTGGTGCTTTCAAAATGCCCATCTAAGAGAAATTACTGCACTGAATGGTGACCAGCTTGATCCAACCATGGCCAGAGCAACAGGGCCATATTCTGTCATCCTTATTCACTACATACAACAAGCAGTCCCATGAAAAGGGTGAGCTGGTGTGAAGAGTTAAGGCAAACCTTCTGGATGAGCAGAGAGAGTGTGGGTGAGCTGTGGCTCACCAGGTGAAGATCCTTGCTCTGAAAAGAATCACCATCATATGAGTGCATGGAAGCTCAGGCCTCAAGCCTTGCATGGGTCATAGAACTGCAGCAAAGCTTGGTTTTGGCTTTTGAACATCCCACCTTCTGGCAAAAGTCACAGAGATGTTTGAGCAAGCCCACAGCTTGGTTGCACTGGCAGCCCCATCCATGGACACAGAAGACTCAGTGGATCACTCCATCAGGCACATCACTCAAGGCTGTAAGCCCAGGCCTTTGCAAATGGAGCCATCTCAAACCAACCTGCACACCACAGGACTGCATTAAACACAGAGCCCCTCTGATCATTTCAGGTTCTTGCATCGGGAACTGAGCAGTAAAACTTTCAGGGGCCCTAGTGAGCCCCTGGGCACTCACACAGGGCTCTCTATGGCCTTGAGCCCTGCCTGCATACTGCATCCAAGGGCACAATATAGTCCTTCACTTTTACCAACTGCTATAGAATAAGAATTCCTAGAATGGCCCAAACCAGTTCAAATATGGGTACTTTCAGACTTCTTTTCTATTCCAAATTATGTGCTTTGCCAGCTTCAAAAAAACAAATGGAAAATACATCCCTAAATGTGCACCCTTGTGATCATTCCAAAAGGAAAGCAGCACCAAGTAGCTTAAAACGTTTGCTAGAAAAACTCTTTTCCATATCATGCAAATAGCAGACAAAAATAACTGCTAGGCAATTGATATACATACAAATATTGGTTATTTTAAACAGTAATTTGTTATTGAGGACATCTCACTGAAATATTATAATATTCAATTTCCTCTGCATTTGCATGGAAAAGGAGCTGGAGAGCGCATGATCATTCATTTAACTATTACGTAAATATGTCTATCTAAGATCACACGGCTTTCAAGCCAGAGTTCAAATACATGTTTAATGCATGAGAGTATGATGAAGAAACTTGTGAACTCACAGGTCTCATAGCCCAATCTCAATCAGATCCGAGCTTGGTGTAAATATGTACAGTATCGTGTGCTTTCAATAGCACCATGTCTCCAGGCAGCAGTCTGACATCAGCAAAGGAGACAGGTGGTTCCCTTTCCAAGCCGGGAGGGAAGAATAAAAGGAGTTAAGACAGTGTGTAAATATAGCAATATTTTTTCCTCAGTGTTTTGCTACAGTTTTCAACCCTTAATGAATCTTCAGTGCATGAACAATTCTCATAACATCTTTGATACAAATCAGTGAGTGGATGTCATGTCCTAAGATATTTATAACCTTAAAGGTAGTGGTAAGTGATACTGTTTGGCAGCCTTGGTTTAGAAGTGCTGAAGATACTTGCCTTTTGGTTTCATAAGAAAGGAGCTCCAAAAAGCCACAAAACCTCAGTTTCCTTGCTCTAAATGTATCCCTTTCATATAGCAGGTCACTGTTACTAATAATGCCTGTAAGAATGACAAACAACTGTCAGTCAGAGGCACAGAGTACATCACAACTGCTTTTAGATAGCTCAACTTTGTAAACTCTAACAGTGTGAGATATGCTAAACCCTGCACAATCCACAGTAGTTTGATTTTGAATTTCACATTACAAGAGTTCACACGTACACTAACCTGCATATAGAATAACCCAATTCGGCCTTTCTTTCTATCTGTACATAAATAGATACTTTTTTTTTACACAGTGACAGCCACTGCCTCTTAAACCATTTTCTTTTGTTGCATTTCCTTAGAAACACAAATCTTGTTCCTTGGCAGCAGTTGCTGTAAGTGCTGTACCACATGCCCAAACTAGTTCTCAGTCACAGCTTTAATTCACAGTAAGTGGCACGAAAGGAGGTCAACACTTCTCAGAAACCACTTTCAGTTCTTTGCTGCTTCAGTATCTATTCTATAAAGCCATCCGCCCTAACAGAAAGAAAGTTGTTTCTTATATTGTGTCCCTTGCTTTTTTATTATTGTCATCTTTATGGAATGGGCTGCAGAATGTATCTGATGGAATAAAAGAAGATTATTCCTGGAACCACATTCCTGGTCTCCCTTTTGCAAGATCCTAAAAATATAAGCAAAAAGAAAATAAAAATTAATACTTTCTGCAACAAAACCAAAACGCTCCTTTCTTTTTCAGTGCAAAAAGACTTTATATAAATGGCATCTTGCAACTCAGTGTCAATCACTGTGTCTTACTTTCAGTTCAATTTACTTGCTTACAGAATGATTGGTTTTTTTTATCAACCCGACCAAGACATCATGGAGCTTGAAAATCAAACAGCCTTCTTTTTGCCATGATGCATCACTGGCAAGAGGAATGTCCTTGCTGACAATATTTTGCTGTCACATTTGCCTCTACAGCTTCACTGCCTTCTCTGTGATCAATGAAAACAGATTTTGACCTCATCTATTTCATTTCAGACCATATTCTGCCCTGAGGCACATGAGTACAACCTATCATAGTTATAGTGGCAATTGGGGCAGAATTTGTTCCTTTCCTGACAATTCAATATGTGATTCATGAACCAGAATTGAATCCAGCTCTCCTTTCCTAGAGCTCCTCTGTTTCTTTGGCATTAGCATTAGTAAAAAAAGAAGCAAAGATGAATTTATGTTGGTCATATCAGCAGAACTGCCTGGGTAGTCAATAATCAGACTGCTCGGCAAGATGCTACCTGACCAAAAGTTAGTTACTGTATTTTATTTAAACAGCTTATTCTGTACTCTGCTTGCTTGCTTGACTTTTCCCTGTGTTTTTTAACTAATGGGATCGTAAGACCTGGAAAAACACCTCCTAGTCTTGAACATTTCTAATTGGCTTAATAAAGCAAACTGAAAAAAACATAATCCTCTCCACAACCATCACCTTAAAAAACATACCCATACTACTAGACGTGGAATACACAGTGTATTCACAGGGTATGCAGCACTAACTGGATGATCAAGTTTCCCATTAATCCCCAAGACAATGGACCACTTTTGAAAATACAGGCTCCATTTCTATTCATATGACCCAAAATGCCAACACCTGTATACATTCTTTCATACAACTCACTGCACAGCTGAGGTGAACACACTTCAGCACACACGGTCCAAAACGGATGCACAGGAATGCCCTCGGATGTACAGCACTCCACTGACCAACCTATGCTGTGGGGCACTCCCTCTGCACGACCTACAGAAGGAGGAGGGTCTGCTTGAGACCACCTTCAGAGCGTTGGCGCTTCAGAGCCCATAACAGGAGCTCATTTTGAACCCTGGAGGTCCCCAGTGTCTCCATGTCTCACTCAAGATGACAGGCCTCATATGCATATATTGTATTATAATTTTCTGCAGAACTCAGTTCCCAAGCAGAGGAAAGGTTGACATCACTTTGAAAACCACATCTAAGACATGTAATGAACTGCATACAGGAGACTAATCTATAGTAAATTTGATGAACAGTAAAAATAAACTCCTTAATATAACAAAAGCAGTAATCAACATATTGCATATTAGGCCTACAAAGCACCAATTATCTGATGAAGAGAAGTAATGCGAAATAGTTACAGTTTCCTTAGTTATTTAACTATTTACGCCAATGGAAGTCAAGGAAAACAATGCCTACAGAACCACACATGAAAACTCACATGAAGGATTTCAGCCAAGATTTGAGTTTAGATTTGAACATAAGGAGAAAAAACTCTTCATCAATAAAACAACAAAAATAAAGGTCACGACCTCCAAATCCTGCTGCATCTTGCTACTGTACTGGTTATGAGAATACAATTTTTGGAAGCAAATTATTTTAATTTCCCTTACCATTTAAGAAAAATGCATTCAAAGCAAAACACTGAGCCTGATCCTGCCCTTCTGCAACCCCATCAATAACAGCCTTACCACACACTAGAGTGAAGAAGGATTTATCCTTTCCCATGGGCCATGCTCTGAGTTCTTAATTCAACACTATATTCACCAACTTGTTCAGTGAGATTAGCTGTGGTTTCAAGTGTTATTCACCCAGGCAATGGGTCTACAAACACCCTCTTGCTCTGTATTGCCAGACCAAAGAAGATATGAATAATTTGGGACACATTACCAAAGGCTCAAAGTATCTTCTGTGGAGTTTTCTTTGGAGTGAGAGACCTTCCTGTGTGTGAAAATTGGCCTTGTAATGAAATAAATAGGACTCACTTCTCTTCCTTTCCTTTTTTTAGGTAGCATGACCTAAAAAAGGATTTGCAAACACACTTGGAGAGGAGAGAGATCTTGTGTCTATTGGATTTTTGTTTATTTTCTGCAGTTATTACAGAGAGTTTCTCAAAATTCTCAAACATCTGTGAATCTTATAAGGTTCATCTTTTCAAAGTGCAATGTGTCTAGCTTAAATTTCTTTTACTTCTTAGTATACTTATTACACTTACTGCAAACTATCCGAATGCCCACACAGTGCTTTAAATGGGGTTGCAAATATCCCTTGGATCACCATCAGCAAAAAGCTTCTCTTCCTAAAGGAAAGTAAAATTCAGCACGACTTTTTGATCTACTATTTGCTATTTTGTAAAACTGCAGGAAAACTTCTGCCTTAAGGGCCGAGCCCTGCTCCTTCGGCACTGAACCAGACCAAGAGGGGTCTGTCTGTGTGCTGCACCAGAGTCGTGCTTGGAGGCAGAGCACGACGAGCCTGCCAGAAGTGCTGATTCACTGCAGACACCAAAGAGGCTGCTTAGTAGCTAAGCTGGGGGGCAAAAAGATGGCACAGAGGAGAGGCATCTTCATCAGTGCAAATAAATAAACAGGAGGGAATGCCAGAGCTGTTGCAGAGACTGGATTCCCCGAGACCTCTGCTTAATACATGCATGTTAGTTCGCTTATTGGAACAAAACCTGTTAATACAGCTCTAGCCATAGGGGGGAAAATACTTGCAAATGCACAGAAGTCATGTAAATCAGAACTGATGCTCTATTTTACAAGAAAATTTCTCCATTAATAATTTCATGACTTAGAGCAAATGAGCATGGTTGGAAACAGGGGACCCTGCTGATACTAATCTGAAGGCATAAGATACTTTCGTTTCTCTCTCACATATATACCAGACGTACTCCTTGGCTCAAATCTGGGTGTGGACTAGGTGCTTTTGTGGCTAAAACACCACCTTCTAATTTGGTTAAGTCTACTAGTAACTTTTTTTGGTTTGGAGTCGCAAAATGTTGCATAAACCCTCCAGGATTTTAAAATCCAAATTCTCAGAGCTGTCACATTTATAATTAGAACGATCTGATACGACTGGCATTAGTGTGAGGTAGGAACATATCACAGAGGGCCAAGCAGACAAACTAAAATATTTCTCACCGTTAGAAAGGGAATTCTTCCAAGTAGAAATGTCAGTTGAGTCACAAGGGCTCTGTGCAAAAGTAGCACCTCTTCATCCTCATACCTACTCTTAGAAAGTCCTGCACTGTTGCTTAACTTAGTCCAACAGACCACACCACTTACCAAAGCCCTGACAACAGCCCTGGCTCCCTGTGTTAAACCCAGATTCTCCTCTGAGTAGAAAATTACTTTTCTCTAAGTGCAGGTTGTTTCGGAGCTACCTGTAACGCCCCCAGCCCATACATAAAGACAACATGTTCATATTGCATATAAAAAGAGATGTCCCCACACTGAAAAAAATGAGGTTTGATAAAACACCTTGTCACAGAATCCCTGGATGCAGAGCCAGTTGCAAGTGTAACCTTTTTATGTGCTGCTGAAAGTACTTTTCAAGTTGTTTACCTCCATATTGGAGAAGGAGAAAAAGGAAGTAAGAAAGGAGGGAAGGAGGGAGGGTACACTATTGTAGCTACTGAATCAGCAAACAAATGAGCGAGAGACAAAATGAGAATGGCTGTAAGGGACCTGGCACCATCAGCACGTTGAGTGAAACAATAAAAAAGAGCCTGGAAGAAAAGAGAAACACTGAATGCAGATACTAATTTTTCCTTTTTTTTTTTTTTTTCTGGAAGAGGATTTATGATGCCAGATTTCAGTTGCCTCTTAATAACAACACCTGGCTAAATACAAATGAAATTAATTTTACAGCTGCAATCTTTCCACATTTTGCACATGGTGATTTGCTGAAAGAAACCCTATCACAAGGTGTCAAAAAGGAACATAAAACATAACATGCAATATTTTTTGAGAGACATCAATTGTAATTATATGAAACCTAACAAAGCTGCTCCAGGGAGAGGCGGATAGAGCTGCACAGCAGAGAGCCTGGCCCGCCATGCAGATGGCAAAGCTCTATCCAGGCAAATACAGTGGGAAGGCCACAGGGGCTCACATGTATCAAACAATAACAACAATGTGTCTCTTCCTCCTGCTATCAGGTCACTGAAACCAATGTGAAAGTGGCATGGAGATGAAAATGCTATGGTCAGGTATTAGGTTAGAACTTCCTCCATGACCTGAAATTACAACCATCATCCCTCATACCTCTTACTTCCACATGACAACCCCCATCCCATATCCTAAACTAAATCACTGGTCTCAAAAGTTTTACTAGCACAGTATGTGTTGTTGCACTCTTCATTCCAATGTATTTAGTTTTTCTTGAAAATCAGTAGAAACTGCTCTGTAACAGAGACCTGGTATTAAAGCACACTTCTGACTAGCACTGTACCAGTGCTGTGTGGAAAGAAGAGATGGCTCCTCCAAGAAAATATGAAAAATTTCTGAATACTACATCTGAGAAACAAGGTGTGATACTTATTTCAGTGTTAAGACAGGAGTAGTTTACCTGCTCCTTCCTCTCCTTACCCCATGATCAGACTCTGGAAAATATTTCTGTTTCACTGCTTGGGAGAATGAAAGATGGTGCTGTCCTTTAGTCTGTGTACCACACCTACAAAATACATTTCCAGGAAAGTAGTATTTTCTGCGTTGCTTTCTGGTGGTGAGGGTCATATTATTAATGCATTTGGCTCACCTTCCTGCAACCAGGCACGCATACAACAGGAGAGGAGACCTGCAAACTGGGCACAGTTGTACTAAGAAAGCATCGGGTCCTTTAAAACACAAAATCCACAATTTCATGAAATGGGTCAGTGCTGAACAAAAATCTTCTTTCCTGGAATTAAAATAGGCAAGTTGCTTTCTGGTATTTCATGGGACTCACATATTATCACAAACATGATACACGTTAATTATGTTATAGCACCAAAAGGTCCCAATTTTTTATATTTTGCTCTTCTTTGAAACTACTAGGCTCTACACTGGCATGAACACATGGAAAGATATTGCCCCTGTGAGAAAGCAAAATAGTATACCAGCTTTCCTGGATAAACTATGGGTAAACTATGAAATGTGAACAGATGTCTTTTAAAGTATGAAGAATGACAACCAATTTTTAAAAATATGCTGAAGAAAACCCTTTGTAAGGTTTGGTTTTTTCCTTGCTTTGGTTTTCTGTATTAACACTTGGGCTTGCACTCAATATTAATCCCTCCCATATTTCTCAGCTCTTGTGTAGAAAACACACCACAGTCCTACAGCTGCGGCATTTCGAAGTCTGCACAACATGCTGTACATGCCATTGGTTGACATTTTATTGACAACAAAGGCCCGCAGCACAGCAGTGCTTTTAGAGATGGGATTAACATAATGAACTCTATCTTCATGGCTTTTTCATGGCATTTCTTTATATAAAAGAGTGAAAAAAGACCCAAACCAGAAACAAACATTTTTTTCCTATTCTTTTAGGACACAGTCCCCTCTGAAATAACTGTACACTCCTAAAGGAGAGAAAAAGTCTTTAAATAAAGGAACACATTTGTACTTGTAAGAAGAATGTAACTGCTGAAGAACTAGGGGGAAAAAAAAGTACTGACCTTTCTATGAGGTAAGAAGAGCTCAAGTGTGGGGCCTGCACTAGTACAACATTATAGCCGATTGAGTAAACTCCATCATGAGATAGTAACATGAACAATGCTGAGACCTCCTACCACGCAGAGACAGGCTGAAACAATTTTACAGCAATGCAAAACACCAAGGTTTCAAAATTCTTAAAACTACATGTACAAAATCCAGCAGGTATTGCTTTAAGTCAGTCCCAAGTCAAATGGTCCTCATGCATGAGCAGTACGCACAAACACAGCCACTGAACCCAGCCTAGGTTTGCCACATGCCCCGCCCATGTTTGCAGGATAGTCCCAAACGCAGGAAAGAGAGTAGCACCCTGAGCAGGAATCAGCAATTTTGTCTGCAAAGCTCTGATCCTCCCCTCTTAAAGCTTCAAGAAAACTCTTCAATGAAAAAGTTCTTGGCAGAGTTTTCATCTGTTCTTGGCTGGACTCGCTAGCCAAGTCTGAAGCACACAGAGATCTGGTTTATTTTTGTCCTAGTACATGAGTAAACCCCCACAATATTAATGTTTTTTACAGAATTAAGTGGAGCAATCACACAGACATCAGGCCAGCTTGAATGTAATTGCTAAAAAATGAATTTAGACAATTAGGAATTATGGTTTCTGACTTTTGCAAATTTTCTTTCTTTTCTTTTGGTCTGTCCCTTTCTGAAGTCCTGTATCCCAGCCTTCCTTTTAGTAGCCTCCTACAAACACATGAAAAAACTACCTATGTATCTACATGAGGAACTTATTCAGTCCCTTTAGTGGGTGAACACAGAAGAACATGGCAATTTGGTATGAACTCAAACTGCAATTTAATCAAATTAATGTTGCAAAGGTGCCTTAGTAAGAGATCAAAGTAAAAAAAAATGACTGTAAAAAAAAATCACAGTGGCCACCAATTGCAGCAAAAACCTGTCTGCAGCTGAATTGCCAGCAACAAACTAAAACATTATATCCACTTAGAAATTAAAAGGTGCAAACTAAACATGCAAACTGACTACAAAAATGGGGCAAATTACCCTGGTCACTGTGGAAGTACAGGGTATTCAGCAACTTTCCTAAAAGTTCTGTCAACTTGCAGAATCATAACTCAATTTCTCTAGGAAGTTCTGAGATCCTGAAAACCAAACACATTTGCGGACCATATCCAATCCCTCCACCCTGGTTCACAACCTTTGTTTAAGGAAGACAAGTAATCTGTATTGTGAAAAAAGGCTGTGCTCATTTTCCTAACGTACTTTCCTGTGACTTTCACCCTCAGTTATATAAGAGTGGGAAGCATGGACAATTCATTCTTAATGCTAGCTCAGTCCTGGCCTCTCCTGGGCACTGGCTGAAAATAATACTAAACCATGCTGAATCATTTACAGTAGCTTTATGATGTGGATTATCATTCAGCGAGGACTGACC